GGGGGGGGGGGGGGGGGGGGGGGGGATCGGAAGCAGTGTCGGAGGAACAGTCATAGAAACTGTCACCCCACAATGTTTCCGAAACTTGATTAATAGTTGTTGAATGAGTTAATGAGCCGGCCTTAATGAAGGAGTCATTGGGAATAATCGAGCCGATATTAAAACCAATTAAGATTTGTTGATCGACCGGGGGGAGGAGGAATTATCTACTCGGTATTTTCAATTTTAAATTGTTTTAAAATCTACTGGATAATTCCCCATCATCCCCTTGTTCAGGCTAGCTCATCAATTAATTACTCCCACCGAGACCTGGGCCTCCCAACCTTAACTGTCGGAAAGTCCAATCGGACTGCCGGAATGAGGAAATATCCGACACTCGCAAGTGTCGGGATCATCCATCAGGGTTTAGAAATTATTTCCTGTTAGACGTTTCGTGATAATAGTTGCATAAGAGAATCATGTAGATTAGTACACGCAAACTTTTTTATATTAATTAATATCTTGCGTTTCTAGTTAATATAAATTTTAGTGAGTTATTATTTTGATCTATTTCAGAGCAAAGAATGGGTTAAAGTGGAGTTATCTGGATCACTGCATTCTCGCGTTCTTTCGAAAGGGTAATTTTTTTCATTTATATTTAAAAACATCGATTTTTATGTTGAAATCTAGGCATTACACTGATAGAAAGTTGTCGAAATATTCAACAACAGCCCATTTACAGAAATTTCAACCTTACTAGATGTGTCCGCGCGCTCCGCGCGCGAATGTGCTCCATGGGGCCTAATGCTACACTACATTTATTTGTTTTGATTCCTTTAATGGTGTATACAAATTAAAAATTGAATAAATTGAATATTAATTGAATATTGCACTATGTTTAACTTTGTAGCTGAGGAAAATTTGATGGATCATTTTGTCAACGTGTTAGCCATCATAATAATATATTACGTAGAATTATAACAATAGCATAAATATGACATAATTTGAAAAATATCTCAAATATATAATAATATGTAATATTTCAAATATGTATTTGAAATATTTTATATTGAAATTGTTATTTTTTTACAATACCATCCCTAAAGTATATATATTCTAATGATACAATACGCCGAATAGATTGGCTTCGAAAAACGTTACACTGGATTTTTTATTAAAGGATCACTGATTCACTAGATCAGTCAATGTGGAATAACTGGAGCGAACTCCAATTCCAATGATTATGATGCAATTCAGTTTTCTTAAGTTCTCAACGTTAAATAGAAATTAATTAATAAATTGGTCTTAAATCTAACTTAAATTTCCAACTGCGTCTAACTAATAATAAGTATTTTGTTGCAGGCAATATTATGAGTTGACCTGTAAAGGTGAAGGTGGACCAGCACCTCAAATCTATTGGATACGTGGTGGAAATATTCAGCGACAGGTGAGTTAAAATGAAACTAAATAACATGGTAGAGAAGAGTGAGATTTTTTTAATTCTTCATCACTGACTGAATCTATAATAAATGTAATATTTTCTCGTTGCACAAAGTCAGGAGTGAGCTCAATTGATGAAAAATTAATTTGTGAATTACGAGAACTTCTCGAATGTTTCCCTAATAATAAACTGAATGAATATTAAATTTCTTAACATCTCTTTTAGCTCGATGAACTTAAAAAAACGAGCCTCGCTTATGACCCATCAGTATTTGTAAATGCCGGTGCTGCAAAAAAGGAATCAAAATATGTGATTGATTGCGCATCGAAACAGGATGAAGGGCCTATTCACTGCGTGGCGATTGCCGGTGACAAAGTCAAATGGGAATCAACAAATATTTTGGTACCTGGTAAGTCGAAAAGATTTTATTACATCAGGAATAACAATCCGTTTGTACGATGAATGTCTAATCTTCCCCCATCAATTATTTAGATAACGTAAACTCAACGCGAAGTGGATCCTGTGGCTCCTTTCGTCCACCTGTCATAACCCATCATGCGGCGACTGTCGTCGCATTTCAAGATACATCAGTGATCCTTCCGTGTATAGCCACAGGAAAACCCCGGCCTTACATCACATGGGAAACATCAGATGGTAGTTTAATTACGAATCACCTCTTCAATCCACGTTATAAAGTACTTAGTACTGGCAACCTGCTGATTAATGCACTCGAGTGGGATGACATGAATGAATATACTTGTATAGCAAGATCGAATTTGGGAGAGGACCGAGTCTCCACATTCATCTATCCGGCCCAAGTAAGTTATTAAAATTATCAATTTTAATCAACAACTTGGTCGTTACATAAAGTATTGTTTCTTGGGTTAAAAGATGAATTCAAAAATTTATTTTAATAAGAGGGATAAACAATAGAAGGCTATTGTTACTCTCTCTTAGCGCTGCACAAAAAATGTCTCTATGAACTCTCATAGATTCAAGGATACCCTACAAAACAATAATGTGAAATTGACTATGACTCTTGAACTTCTTCCCTACTAAAATTATTCCAATATGTCATCTCATCCAAGTTTTTAATTTATTTTTTATAATTCAGCGCGACGATAGGGGTTAAAATGTCCCCATTAAGGACACAAAACAAGATGAACCAATGGCCATTGAGAGTACTTGCAATCCACCTGTTTCTAGTTCTTAGATAGCTGACTATTGTGCTGAAAATGAAAATTTAAAAAAGAAACCTTGCCGGCAGCGATCCTCGCATTTTTTTATGGAAGAAGACAAAAAAAAGAGAACGAAAGCACGACATACTTATCTAGTCATTAAGTGTTAGTAAACGCCTCTTATTTGTTAAGGCCGAATCCCATACGTAGTCATTATTTAAATTATTTTTCTCTCCCTAAATCTTCAATTATTTTTGTCTCGTACAAAATTACATTCCACGTTATCATTGACCAATTAATTGATTAATTAATGTATTATTATTGGTTATTTGTCGGTGTGATCAGGGTGTATTTATGTAATTAATATATTTATGATCGCCGGAAATATGTACTTACAAGTGAATAAATGTATTTTGTCATACCACATATTGTACATTTCATGATTTTATCCTTGTTTAATCGTTCATAAATCTTTCTTTATTGTTACATACAACAATTAGCATGTCTACTTTATTGCAATAAGCATTTATCAATTAAAATTTTAATCACCTTATTTGAAATGTTCACTGAACAATTGTTCAATTCATGGATCAATTTGCACAATTACTCTGTGGACCACTCTATGTCCAGTTGTATCATTTTACTCTTTTCTTACATATGATTTTTTACAAGTATCTCTATAATATCAACTGTATTTTTATCAATTATTAAACAAACTACACTCGAATACTCGAGGTTTTATTTTCAGATAATGAGGGTACACTCTGTTTCCCATTTAAGTCAGATTCTTAAAGTTCCAGGACTAATTACAATATTCACACGATAATGTTTATAATACATGTAGTAGTTGATTTATAAATCATAGATTATCTCTATCTTTTCACTCGCTTCTTTTCAATTCTTATCCTGCTAATCTGCAGACAACAGTTTTCAGCCGATAGATTGTGCAACGTATAAAAATCGAAAACTGAAGCTTCCGTGGACTTATTTGATAATTCAATTATTGTGAATGATCAAACGTATAAAAGACTTGCACACCAACGTCACATTGATTCAACGACAAATTCCTGTTCTTTTGCAATGATAAAAGTTTAGTCAATTGTAAAATTCAGTCAAAGACCAATAGTATCTGCCTCTCATTTAGATAATACATCCTTAAATGAATCATCACCATTTACATAAAGATAAATCGAATTTTCTGTGAAACGAAAAAATAATGAATTACATATATTTACAAAAAAATCTAAATACATTTCATTATCTCACTTAATTCAGTCGTTTGGTTAATATTTAAACTTTTTCACCGACTGTTTCTCCTTGCGTTGATTCTCAAACTCACTGTCAGTGCCATAAAGATGATATCGATGCTTCATTTCAGTTGCAGTAGACTTTGGTAAATAAAATGGTCAGAAGAATCAACATATAGGAAAGGAAAAGTCAATTAATAAATAAAATTAAAGTAATCGGTGTTGAAAATAAAAGTACAAAGGAGAAAAGAAGGTTGGTTACAATAAAACTGGCATTAAAGAATTAATTAGGGTTCTCTTATTTCATTTCTCCAGGTGCTTTTAGCATTTTTTTAATTCATGATGACTGGACTCACCAGACGCGAGAGCACTCTTCTTGGCATATCCTCCTGTAGACTATAAATTTGATCGCGTTTTACAACCAACTGTGATGCATCTTCAAACAACACCTGTGAAAGAAAATCGAAAAATGAAGAATCAATTGAGAAATTTGTCCTAAATGAGAATTGCAATTTAACTGTATAGACATGAAACAGTTTCTTCTCTTAATCCTGGTGGCTTTATCCCTTAAAATGAAACAGTTAAGATACTGTGAATTCTGACAGAAATTGCATAATTTTGGGAAACATGAAATATTAAGAAAAAAAATGTTACTATTTTCACTGGTTTCCGCGATATATTATACAAAAAGTGAAAGTGAGGTGAAATCGACTGACACTATTTCATTTATTAACTACTAAAGTAAAATCAAGTAATAAATAGCATCACTTCTTACAGTGTACATGTAGCGAGGATTTGTGCCTTCGAAAATGCCATCATAAATCTGACCATCCGTCCACTTAACTTTTACGGCTGCTCCTACAGTGGGTATACTTCCAGCTTGATAGTTCTGAAGATAATAGAATCATGCAATCATTTATCTGTCCTCTAATGTCTACGCATGTAATTCAATCAGAAATGAACGTTGAAAATATGTACTTACTGTGATATCTCTAGGATAGAGGTCATCGCTGAAGCTAGAGTCATCAAAGGTGACCATGTAGAATAGATGTGTATCTATTGATTGCACCGTAGCTTTATAATATCGTTTGTTTCTGTGTTTTGCCCACACAATTTCCCCATTTCTAACTAATGGGCTATTCTCCTTTCGATTGGCATGACCATAACAGGTAACCTGAAGTTCCTGAGAGTTGTACGCAGGTATAATGAAGGTCGCACCTGTAACAAGGCCGCAAGAGGGATGAAACAGAGCTCCACAAACGTGACAACCCAGACAAACTCCATCCCTCTGGTCACAACATGAACATCTCTGTCTCACAAGATCGGCTTTTATCGTTAGTACATTGATGGGATCTTTATTGACAGGATCCTTAAAGGTCACTCCCGGTATCAATAGAGCACAGAGAATATGCGCCCATCGACTGTCACTCGTTCTCTTGACAGCTCCTCCTCTCATTGGACATAGGCAACACATGACTTGTATCATTCCAGCTTTACACTTATCACATGCCCAATTTGGTAAATCTGTGGGTAATACTGTTATCCCATAGCAGGAGGCATGAACAGTAACGTGACACTCACGACATCTCAATAATTTATCATTTTCGGGCTCTACACTCTGCTCCTTAGAATTAGCAGCAAATAATGAAGATGACACCCAAATTGGTGAATTCTCTGGTAGCACTGTTGGCTTGCAGTATTTCCAGTCTGGAGGCATCTGACGATAATTTTTATCAGTTGTTGCAGCAAAGGCGGTGCATATTGCACAGTGAGATGCTTGGGCACTCCAGTAGTCATTGAAACTCTGTTGAGTCTCCAAATCTGGGATATTTGGATATAACATCGTTGAAATATGTCCAGGTAATATTTGACCAGGATAAACTGTTGTTGGTGGTGGTGTTTTCATTGGCTCCTGCTTCACCATAGGGTAATTTTGTTCGATGCTGAGCACCGGCGGTGGCAAGTCCATCTCCTCTTGACTGTTGGTTAAAATCAGTTTAGTCGGTTTGTCCTTTGGCTTTCTTTTCGATGCTGGTGGCTTCTTTCCTCTGGTATTACTGCCCTGCGTTGTTTCTGGAGGAGATAAAGTTGGACATTTACCTGGAGGGCTGCAGGTTTGTGATGGAGATTTGATTGTTTCCTCAGTGTTATCGTTTGGTAATGTTACAGGAATCAAAGGCTGTGTAGGCGTTAAATCTTGTTTCCATATGATTTCTGGAGGTTCGTTGTTTGCGGGAAGTATTGCAAATGTTATTTCATCTTCCAGAGCGGTCAAATTATCCACTTGAGTGGCAATAGAACACATTTTAGGCTCAACTACTCCCCTATAATCCTCCTCTGGATTTTGAATAGCGCGTGACAATTTTGTTGGTATTTTCTTCCTTGGAGTCCTCTTCGTTGGTTTTGATGGAGTTTGTATTGGAAAATTTGTATGATACTGGGGTTGTGGTATGACAATTTCTCCTTCGTTAATATTCCGAGGGAATTTGAGAACTGATGTTCCAAGACTCACCGGGGCGAACAACTTTTGTCCAATTGGGAATGGTTTGGGTGCCCCGATTTTTTCATTCTGTGGGCTAACAAGGTGTACGTTGCCTGTACTTGCAATCGTCGATGTCAAAAGGGGTTTTATCTCTGCAGGAGGCTCAGTAGAATGATAATGTGCATTGTTATTGTTGGGCATTTGCCAAAAACTTTTCTGCATGAGTTTATTCCCTTCAGGGAAATTCTTCCCTTCATCATTCAACGCGTCAGAATTTACACTGGCTGTACTGAGAGTAAAAGTAAATGCTGGCTTTGATGATGGGCTTTGGAGAATACTGACAAGAGGCTGGGATGTTTCTGGAATAATTGATGTATGTACCATTTTGAATTTCTCGATCTGGTCGTACCACTCATTGGACATCTGGGAGTCTCGTGATACACCTTGAGGGAATATTGGCTTCTGCAGGAACATCATGTTTGTACTTGGAGAGACACCTGTCTTGGTGTCAGGTTGCAATCTTGAAGGCGTTTGTTTGAGGACCAGAAGACTGTCAGCTGCACTCAGGGTCTCCCTATCCTCCTTGACGTGTGATTCAGACGAACTAATCTCTTTTTTTATACCCCCTGGTTTTTGCAAAACACTTAGCCTAGGAGCTTTTATAATATCATTTTTATAACTCATCATTGGTCTGCCAACTAAGGATGTTGTGAATGTGAATGGTTTTGTTTCAGTAGAAGAGTCTGATGTTGTTGATGACATCAGTAGTGATGTGCCTGAGTCAACGGTTTCTGTTGAGGTTCCTTGTTTCAAGAATATTACTGAATTAAGTTGTGATGTTGAATTTGTAGTATTCGTTTGAGTGTCACATGTGTTTAATTGTTCATTATTGACTAATGATTTTTCTGAAGTACTATTTGAATAAATTTCACTGCTTTGAGACATAATACTGCTAGATAAGAAGTTAGTATTTGTGGTATCTTTTTTACTCAATGTTTTTTGAGACGAGAGACTAGGCATTGCCATTAATTTCCTTTGAACATCGACGTCTGATACATCCAGAGGCAGAGATGAATTGAACATATTAACTGCTGGTAGATTTTTCAATTTCTTCTTATGTTCATGAAGTTTTTTATGTTTCTTCCGTTCTGCATGTTTACAGTGTTTTTTCTTCTTCTTAGATGCCTCAGATAATTCAGAAACGGATGTCTCCTCTCCCTTCAGTACAGCATTATTTCTTTTAATGGCCTCGCTCTCTAAAATTCCAGTCAAATTATCCAAATTTGTCATTTTAGGTAAAACAAGACATGGCACTGAGTTACCAATTATATTCAAGTAATTTTGTTTTGTACCTGAATTGGATGAACCTGTTGAGCTGGAAATCTCGGATATCGAATTTGATTTCATAGGTTTTTTTGTCTTTATCCGTCTGGGCTCCTTGTCGGTTGAATTAACTTTTTTCTTCCTCTTACGATTCTTCTTGCGGCTGTAACCGTCGTCATAAATATGTGCATCCTCCACCTCGAGTTCCCCAGCCTTCAGCCAAATGTCCTCCAGGACCTCCAGCTGCTGCTCATCAGGCTGGTCCTCCTCCAGATCCAGATCTTGAATTGCCTTTTTTACTTCAGGGGGGATGTCAGCACGATCAACGAACTCATCGATGTTCATGTCGGAAGTGACACCGGACATTGATTTTTTCTTGTGAATCGTGTGCCTCTTATTTTTTGGAGCATTTAAATAACTCTGGGGAAGTTCACCATTGCTATTGCTGCACATAAGGTCCATTTGAGATGGCATAGGGGCTGCTGTCTGCCTGGGGTCCTCAGGATGCGGCCCAACGTCCTCTCCTCGCAACCACAAATCATATCTCTCAGGCTGAAATCGTTTAACAAATGTGTCCATCGATATTTTCACCATATCTTTACTGCAGGTACACTGAGTTGCTCTCTTGCCATATTCCACCCAGCGTGGAGCAGCAAAATTCGTAGACTCAGCACAATTGAAACCATGATTAAATCCAGCATGATAACCGTATGGAAACGTTATCATAATTTCTCCAGCCTCTTGTGTAATCTGTAATGAGAATTTAATAAATAAAAATTAAATTCTTGAATGAAATGAATTTTTTAAATAAATTTACCTTATTGCATGGTATCGAATATTGACGCAATATCTGTGGTGAAATAAGAGACATTTTGTGTCTCAAAAAAGCCTGACAGTTTTGATAACTCCCAGGAAAAAATCCATTGGCCAATCTCTCCATTCTACGGCCATGCTCAGGAGGAATGGCATACCAAGTTTTAGGTGCTCCAAAATGCAGATAATTTATCGAGTATAAATCCATATCTTCAGTGTGCCAGGCAAATGTCGTTTTCCACATGCCAAAGTACAGATACGCAGTGTTAACACCATCGATGGAAATCCCATAATCTTTATTCACGTAGTCGAGAATAGTCCCCAGACGATTAATGTTCCACTCTTTAACATCAGGATCAGTGAGAGAGCCTGAGACATCAGCTCCATAAATAGGTGCAACATATGTGATGTTCTTCCAATACTTTCGCTCCAAATCTTCATAATCGAAATGTTTAGGAGTGGCGTAACGTTCAGAATTGGCAAGCTTTTCATACTCCTGAATCGTCATGGACTTCTTTTGTATATTTATTTGTTGATAAAGTCCTTGTTTACCAGTGACAACTTGACATATTGGAGCAGGTATTGTGAGGTCCATGCTCTCGACGTTGTAGCCACTTTTTCGTGGAACCCATTCTGGTGGTGGTATGACTTTTGCAAGACCAGCTTTGTGGGCTCCTTTACTTTCCATGTATTCCACATATTTCGGAAAATTCTTAAACTCCTCGTAAGTAGGCCGAAACACCTGAATACGCGGTGTGCGCCCTGACGTATCTCTCACCATTGTCACGTATTATCTGTAAGTAAAACAATAAAACATCAAGTTCACATTTATTTATATTTATAGTCTATAGTCGATAATAAAGAAATAAGTCTATTCTCTGAGCGGGTCGGATGGAATGAATTTTCTAAAGCTATTAGCTATTATATTGCAAAGGACAATTTTCAACGTTTGTTTCATCATCCCGGGGATTAGTCGACAGAGAAAAAAAAATAATAAAAAGAGAGCGCTGGCTCGAAGGTGTGTTATACAGACGCTCCACTGCTAATCGTATGTTTTTAGAACGAGGCGTGCGGCGCGGTGCATAAACAAAATGGATGATACTTATTGACAGACTACCAAGGAAAATTGATAACAAAAGTACAATTAGTTCTCCAGTTATTATCAATAAAACAGGGCTAATAACAACACGAAACATTCTATTCACTCACATAATTGACGAATTGTTTTCCCCGTATGAGACATGATAATAGTGCGAGACACAATATTACGACAAGTATCACTCGTTCAGTATCATCCCTTGACTTATTGGCGTGACTCAATATTATTCTATAATTCGCTTGTTCGCCAATGAATATTGTAACATATTAATGGATTAAAGGTACTCACCTTTATTTGTCAAAACACTAATCACATTTTAATTGAGAAAAGTACGCATGGGAAACAATCCCAACACACTTTAACAAGTCACAACACGCACTGAATATACACTACGAAGATGGCCCGCAGGAGAATGCTCTCCACTCCGCTCACCCCACCATCCCTTTCCGTCGATTAGCAATGTCCGCCACTGAGAGGGACCCGCTTCGGCACGTACACACACATTCTCTACTGCGCATGCTCCCATTACCCTGTGCATATACATCAATTCACAACTTTTGTACTACCCCCATAAACTGAAGCATTCAGTACTTATTTCGAATTATCCATAAACCCTGTACCTGGACATTTCTCTTGATATACATCCCTGGGGATATACGGGAGTGGTTTACAATTGATATTCGGTGGTGGCCTTGGTATACTACCTGAAGATTTCAATTTACTTACGTATTTGAAATTCTTGATGGTGCAGCAAAAAAGTCTCATTTCTACGAAAATATTCCCAGAAAAGTGAAAAATATGCAATTATCAATTTATTTCAAATTGAAAATTAGAAGCATTGTTATTAAATGATCTAATTTTTTTAATAATAAATTAAAATTTACATTTTGTTGTAAAATTTTTTATATTCTTCATTCATGTTGTAAAATTAAAGAATTCGTTGCACATAATTTGAAAAAAATTATAAAATCATTTTTATGAACACCTTTGTTTATGAATTCCCATGATGATGTACAAGAAATCAAATGAATCCAGTACATGAAAAATAGGATAATAGAGAAGGAATGAAGAAATTTCCCGTCATTTGTCATTGAAATGATTTTTTTGCGCTTTCCTATGCTCTATATCGTCATAAATTTTATTATGCAACAATTAGACTTTTTTGAATTTCGAAACGTATTGAAAGAAAACAAAATAAAACAAAAAAGAAGAACAGTTATAGTTGTCCGCTTGTCCCGCGAAGTTTAGTAAGAATAATCGTCCGTTGTAAATTGATTGGACACTTACCTGAAGTTAGCCAACAATATAATTTGAATGGACAAAGCCAACATCAGAGTGATCAAAATTTCGACGAAACGGAATGTACCGACAAGATCTACTTGAAGAGCGGGCTTTGTGATAAATCATCATTTATCAATAAATAAACATTACCACCCGTAATTTTAAACTTATTTTTTGGAGGTGATATTGCTTTTTTTGTCTGAGAAAAAATTATTTTCAAAAATCATGTCAGAAGATAAGAAGGTAGGAAGTTTTAACCTCAATCTCTGCTTTTTTCTTCCCTTCATCTCGGTTCATTGGAATAGTCGCTTAATTTGACATTTAAAATTCTTTTTTCAGGAAACAAAGGGTGAGACAGAGCACATCAATTTAAAGGTTCTTGGTCAAGATAGTGCAGTGGTTCAGTTCAAAATAAAGAAACATACACCCCTGCGAAAACTGATGAGTGCTTACTGTGATCGTGAGGTGATTTGTTTGTTTACGTTATCATGAAGTACATAAAACTCGAAATAATCCGTTTTTTCTGTCAAAAGGGTTTGGCAATTGCAGCAGTAAGATTCAGATTCGACGGACAGGCAATTGATGAGTCAGACACCCCTTCCAGCCTCGAGATGGAGGAGGGTGATACTATTGAAGTCTATCAGCAACAAACAGGCGGGACATGTTGAGTGGAAAGATCGCTATTATCATAGATTCATTCAACTTTCCTACCCTACAAATCGATGACATTGTTTTGTTATTTTTATGTCTCTTACTTTTTTTTGTAATACTTAAATTCGAATTTGATAAGAACGGATGTGAAAAGACATTGCAATCAGTCTGTTAGGAGGATTATTTTCAGCTTTTGGTAGATAATAATTTCTTGGTACTATTATAACCAAAATTTATTAATAATGGCTTTGGATCCTAAAACATTTCTTAGCCAGAGTATAGATTGGTTCCGAGAGTTCTCCATCTCTGCAAAGTTTTTGAACCCTATCAGACTTAATTTTTTCAAGCCATTTTGAGATTCCATTATTTTCCAGTTCACGTCTTCATACTTTTTCATAATTTCCATTCACATTTTATTAAGTTAAGGAATATAATGATAATGATAAACGTTGGAAGAATAAGAAAAATGTGAAAATACAAAAAAAACTTTGTATAGAAATATCTAACGTCTAAATGTAATAACATATGAAGTTCATGTAATAAACTCAGTTTTTCGATAAAATGGCGTTCATCATGACAGATGTTAGGAGACAATTGGGATAGAAATAATAAAATACTTTTATTTCGACACGTTCAAGTTACAAAATGTCTCTACTGTTTTTCCACATGCAATTGATTTCAGAATTGTGATAACGATGATTATGATATTGACTGATTAGTAACCATTTTTTCCAAAGTGATATTCAGCTAATAACTGATCAAGGAGTGGCTTCACTTCGTTTTTAATCTTTGAGTGATCATCGCCGAATGAAATTTTTATTAATTCAGCAGCTTTGGTAATATATTCCAAGCCCAAACGACTGTTCTTCTGGAATGAGAGCAATTTTGCTCGTACAAAATGTACTTGCCCAGTCATTGGATGTGTTTCACCGAAGTAAAATCTAAAAATGGAATAGAAGACAGAACGATTAATCTTGCTGGTGATTCAAATAGCGCAAAATCTATCAACTTACAAATATCTACCAGTCAATTGAGAGGCATACATTTCAGCATCTTCCCATCGCTCCAATTCCATAGCAGCAGCCAAAGCCATTTCCAACATTCGAACTACTAAAAGATTATAGGGATGCAACACACCTTCTTGTTTTTCCAAGCACATTCTTGCTGCATCCAAATCTATGTATTGGAATTAATGAAAATTACAAGGGCCTTCTTTTCGATAAATAATTTGGAGTGTCCTAATGTGAAGCACGTATCTAAAAAAAAGTATTTTAAATTTCCCATTTGCTAAAATGTGTTGCAAATTAATGAAATTCACGTATTTGTTACTCGTTAGAGTGGAAAAAGTAATGTATGCCAAACGAAGAGACTTAATCACATGAAAAATTACGTACAATTCATTGTCCGTGATAATTTATATGAATATCGACTGATGATCAATTAATTTGAATTAAAATTTGGCAGTATTTTTAGAGCAATATTTTCAAATTGAAGATTTAGCTTGGGTACTTTTAGAATTTTCTTTTGAGAAACGGTTCTCCTTAGGACACATCATTTACCAAAATTGTGAAAATGTACTTACATGCTGTATTTTCCATTTTTTCCAGGTGAAAAACAGACAGTTCGCTGACTTCATCAAAACGCTCTTTAAAATACTCTGGAAACTCCTCACCGCATTTCATGCAATGGGCGTCAGTTGATTGACACGGATATGTACATTTTTTATTCGGGCAGGCTGCGGCAATTTCGATAGTCTCTGGAGAATTGCATCGCTCACATTCGCAAAAAAAGTAATAGGATTTTTGCAGCTCTGCACGTCTTGTTTTTGTGTCCTTTAGTATATCGATGTAGGTAATGTGAATCTAGAAATACAAATACATGAAACAAAAAAAAATTATCAACTACAATTAGGTAAATTATTATTCTTCACAACGAAATAAATTACATTAATCCCTCACGGACGGGAATTTTTTCAAGAAAAAAAAAATCATATGTCATTAGTAATTAGTTTAATTATTATTAACGTTTTTTAAGGTGTCACAAGTATTTATTCTACGTCACTCTCGCCTACATCTGGACATATGTGAATAGAAGATAATCAAGTTGGTTGGGCAGAGGCGGTTTGTTTGTATAAAATTTATATTTCACATCAAATGGATGGCCAATGACTTCAAATGGTAAAAATAAAAAATGGTACAAATAACGAAGAGAATATTAAAGATAATTGGTCCAGAGTCCTGGTCCTCTTTATTTCTTTCATTATTAGGCTGTAATTTCTCTGAGAGTCGAAGATAAAATAAATGGAGCCCGAATTAAGTTTACTTTTACAGAATGATTGTTCCATTTTGTTCATCGTCCCACCAACGAATATGATGTGATAGTATTCTCAGTCTGCCCTTAATTTAAGCGACGATGATAGAATGCTCACCTTAGACCAATCAAGAGCTGGTAAATCACAAAGTGTGCGTATAATAAGGGTTGTTCCCTCGAAGATAGCGGTAGAATTTGGTTTGCAACTATGATCAATAATCGATGGTCCCAAGTATATTCCAACTCCCAAACTAGTCATATCAGTATCAAGAATATTAAAAGAATTTACACTCATGCGTCCAAATATGCCCAGCAATTCCTTGACATCTGGCAATATATTCATTGGTAGAAATTCAACAAGTACTATACTCAGAGAGGTGAAGTGCTCCATTTTCTTCATATCCTCTTTAATGTCCATAACATCTGTGAATAGAAACAATTTATTTTCATACCCTGTATATCATTACTTCTCCAGGCTTAGAAATGGTAAACACCTTACGTGACATCAAGTCGTGGAAAACTCTGTATTTCTGCGGTGTATAGAATCCCTGTTCCTCTTTTCCATTATGGCTCAATTTTATTATTATTCTCGCCATTATTCGAGCTGCATCTGGAAGTATACGTGGATGGATCCTCTTGATATTAGGGCACTCCACTTTGTGGATGGGCCAAGCTTTTCTTTGGCAATTTCGTCCACAGTAAAAAACGTATTGGCAACCAGCGCATCTTGATATTTTGCAGCTAAAATGAAAAATTGAGGATGTTTATTCAAAAGCGAAAGAATTTAAAAAATTGCTCATTTGAGAATTTCAATTGACAGACGGAGTTTTCTTTTTCATGTTGGTAGAAATTTTAATCCGCTAACCCGAGTTGATTATTCAGAAATTATATAGACACTGTGCACTGAATTTAGACGCTAGCATGAGTTCATATGATGCTTGAAATTTCAAACATCTACATTATTTGTGTAGGTAACCCAGGTGTCTCGTTGTTCATTAGATTTTCAATATTTTTTTTTACATTGCCGTCTATTTTCATTTTTATTTTTGAAGTCTTTGAGTGGATGAATTATTAACTGAAGTAGGTAAAAAATGAATACAAGAATTCGCCTATGAGAAGAAATTTTTTTTTTCATTTCATCAGAGCTGCTACTAATTTCCCTTAATCATGAGGAATGTTGGCTTTATAAGTTCTTCCAACCTCTTAAAAAATTACAGAATTTTCCTCGAAAGTTAATAAAAGTCCTAAAATTACGCGAATTAAAAATGATAAGTAAAGATTAACACTGAACGAGTGAAGGATTAAATACCTTTTGAAACACTGATCACATCTTTCTTTCCTGTGGTGATCACTCAAAACAAATGCAAAGGGCTCCGCAGTGAGGATAGTTGTTCCTTTTTTAATTCCTTTTAGTACTCCATTTACAGGATTAGCCTCATTGTCTGCCATCTCGTTATGTTTTCACACGTAGCACGGGCCAGTCGAGCCAAAAATAACGTTCCACTCACCCGCCGGCGAGATTTCAACTATTTTGGTCTACTACCGTTTTTGTCTCTCCGGTTCATTGTCATTGGGGGTATAATTATTATCCATTCGAATCTACCACGCTACACTCTTACAGGAGAAAGTACGTGACACACACATGTGTACTAATTGCTTTATACTTAGTTTGAGAGAGAGGGCCATGAAGTGGCGCCCTCTATTCCACAAATCATTAGTAATCGCTTATCGTGTCTCAATAAAAATAATCAATAAAAATAAGCACACTGAGTATTAAGCCGATTGCAGTGTACATAATCTATCATGGTCTTTTTTTTTTTAAAAGAATAGTAGAGGTTGAAAAAATAAAAAAATTTAAGGTCCCACCGAGATTCGAACTCGGATCGCTGGATTCAGAGTCCAGAGTGCTAACCATTACACCATGGAACCATTTTTTTAGTATTGCAGAAGTATGTTCTAATGAGCCGTTGCTGTTATTAATTGCTATCTCGTGGTTTTGCTGTAATCGTTAAATTAACCATAGAGGCGATGTTATCAGGGCCTGGAGATTAATGAGCGTATTGTAAGTATACAATACTAGACCAAGTCAAAAAAAAAATAATATTTTTTTTTCCCGAAGTCTATTGTGACGTATTGTCATTAATACGTCGGTTATTTGTTGAATACAATGTGACGTATTATGAATAATACGTTACATTAAATTTATAATGTGGGACGATGAGAAAAGAAATATGATTTCTTTCTCATCGTGCAGGAGCAGAGCTCAGCACTCTCACGGTGCCATCTGAGTCCAGCTTCTCGGTAAAGAAGCTGTTTAACTGTTCTAGTTGTGTGTCAATGATGGCACTTAATTGTCTTAGTGTTTCGGGACCGTGAGACTGCTTGCTCTGCAATTTTAGGTTTTGAGCATTTTACAAAGACTCTGGAATAGGGCAGAGTACGATCGGGAGTGAAGCTGGACGGTCATCCCAGCTCCTTCAAATATTAATAACGCGTTTGCCGAACCCATCAATAACACTGTCGTGTATTGTAGTTAGTAGTTGAGTTAAATATACCATACTTTTACCAGTTAATCGTGTATTTATCTTCGCTACAATACCTTCCAATTCCCTTATCATTCCCAACTTGAGTGAATCCCACGCGACAGTTAGCCGGTCAACAAAGGGTACGACGGCCCTAGGAAAGGAAAGCTTATTTCTATTTGTGACTAGTCCCAGGGACTAGTCACATGTTAGATCACCCAGGATTAATGCGATGGGTGATCTAACTCAAAACGTCACACTATGGTTTACTACTTCTAGAAAGGTAAACAAAAACAGCTGTTTCAGCCCTTAATGAAAATATTTAGAGATCGCGCATTGCGATTATCCATTTTCCATAAGATTAACATGGGGAGAACTGAGTTTTTCATTTCCGATTTTTGTAACTCGAGAACGGATGAAGGAAAAATGATGAAAATTTCAGGTCTCATAGGAAATTGAACGCTCTACGAAGAAGTTCTTTTGGAATTTTATGACGAATCTACGCGTTCGAAAGTTATTCCAAGTTAAATTTGAAAGTACCTTGATTTTTAGGTTTTACAGTTGTTAACAGCCAAACTATCAGATTTATCAGTAAATGTCATAAGACTTTTCGGCAGATCATCTCATTTTCTTATGGAATTATATCATTAACGCGTTGAATATGTATATATATCTGTCAAATTTCATTGTTACATGGTTCAAATATTTTTTATTTCCTGAAATTTGATGAATGGAAATTATCATCAATTTTTCTATTGATGATTCGATTATTATTTTGTAGCATTTTACAAGTGTATCGATAGAGTAGGTGATTATTTACTCTATTTATCGACGGAGGTACGTATATGTGCTCTCCCGGGCTGTGTTGGTAACGCGGGCCAGTTGAAATGGCGGCGCGATGGGGTTATGCGGGGGGGGGGGTAATTTTAATCACCTTTTGTTTCCTAGTTAGTTATGTAGAACAAAGGTCAACGCGTAAACACGTCTTATAGTACACGGGATATCTCGGTTTGAATCATGTTAAACGCAAGGAAAGTGACAAAGATAATTCCTCTGGTCGGTCCTGTTAAGGAGAAAATTGAAGAGCGAAAATTGCCAACAGGTCGACAGGTATTACAGTTATTTTTTTATGAACATCATGGAAATAATCACACGATCAGGCAAGTGCAACGAGAACCCTACAAGCAGTCACGAATGAGTGGGACTCAGCTGGAATTCCAGTGAGAACGATGAAAAGCTGTGTTGTGAAATTAGAAACACTTTATACGAAGTGGCAAAATTTGAGAAAAAATGCTAGTCGCAAGAGATCTACTTCACAACGAAATGAAGAAGAAATTTTCCAGCAGAATTTAGATCTGTTGTTTGATATTTCACACAAGGATGTAATGAATACCTTGACTGAGAATCAGAAAGTATTTTTTGTTTCTCAACGTGATGGAAAACGCCGGGGTTTCCACTCAATCAATTCACCAACACCATCAAGACCTCCAACATCAGATTACCAGGGGACCTCAACCACCTGCAATGCAAATTCTGTCAACGACTCCGAGTCACCAGTGAATTCGTGTGAAGGGGATGATCAAGAAGATGCAGAAACTCTTAGTAAGTTTTTCATTCATAATTTTCACTGCCAAAATGAATTATTATTTCATATTTGCTCAGACATTTTCGTAATGATTTTAATCTTTGTTATTAGGTCTGAGCCAGTCTACAGAAAGAGATCTGTCAATTTCTACCACATGTACGAGTAAGTCATGCTGTCCAGCTGAATTGAAAAGAGTCCACTCCAGTTATTCAGATGAACTTGGTCAGCCTCCACCTAAAAAACGGAAAGAAATCATCGATGAAGTAGCATCTGTTTGTGACAGAATAGGCATTAGCAATTCTGCAGCAATGCTCTTTTCAAGTACGATCATCCGCAGTCTAGGGCTGATTGTAAACGATTACAATCTCAGTTGTGCCACATTTAGACGAAGGCGAATGGCATCTCGCAAAAAGACGGCCGAACAGCTGAAGAGCAGTCTTCATACAGCGAATGTCTTGAATTTGCACTGGGATGGTAAATTGTTGCCCACAGTTGATGGAGGTGAAAAAATTGAGCGATTACCAACCGTAGTGACTGGTCTTGCTATAGACATTCATTGAAAAAAAATTTTCACGCTTGAGACTTTTCGACAGAGAGAATTTCCTTTTTATTATTTAAAAATGTTCTGTCTTTGTACAAATGTTAGTCAGAAATATTGTTTATATTCCTGTGGAAAATTCCTCCATCGCTCATTGCTTCATTTTCCTATAGTTATAATGTTATTATATTCTTAGTTTTGAGGCTTTCGCGGCCATTATTAATGACTTGGTTGGCTTCCGGATGGATGCCGCGTTGAGTTTCAGCATTGCGCCGACGTTTCGCAAACATTGCAGTCTGCATCTTCAGGGCTATGAGCTCCGATTCTGAGCT